CACTGTGTTTTCCCCGGAATGCAGGTCCATTGGTCCATATCAAAAGCACTATGTATAGCATATTCATAATTTTTTATTTTGTAACGTGTGTATTTTTAATAAGGATTTTATGTAACATTTTGGCAAAAAGAGGACAGTATTTTCTAGTGAATTTTATAACACATTTTGCTAAAAATGTTTCTTCCTAGGTCAGTTTTTGTTAAGGGAAACCAAAAGTCTTATTTTACCAGGGGTTTAAAAAAAGTTTGAAGCTTGAAAGCAAAGTTATATTTAAACATCATATGTAACAAATAAATAAAGATGTTTTATAGACTTGTCCTAAAAAGGTGCATTCCTTAAAAACAAAAACAACTGGGGCATTCTAGGTTGGTTTTCCCCCTGAGTGATAAGCATTTTTTTTTAATGACAGTACTTTTTTTTTCAAGAAAGAAAGAATTTTACTTAAAAAGGTTCCAGTCAGCCATTAGCCTTCTCAGAAAGTTATTACACTTCTTATAGATATTCATCAGAGATGTAACCAAATAGACACTGTCATATTTATTTGTGAAAACCTGACTCAGTATTGCATCAGCTGCTCTGAAAATAAAATGTTATCTTTCTGAGTTTAATTTGACTTAAACATTCCTTCTTTCTAGCCACTGAAATGATGTCTCATTGCTCATTTGCCATTAGTTGGTTTCTGTAAACCGGGTTTAGACATGTGCTGATCAGATTTAATGCTCATCAAAGGGTCCCCACCCAACCCCACCCCGGAGGCCTGGATGAACATTCCTGCTTCTCAAGCAGCGGAGCCACTTGAAGGGTTGATGGTTTCTAAACTGTGGGACTCACATTGCAATTTAGGGGAGCTCAGTATTACACACAGGCATTTGACAGTGAACTCCCCAACAAAATCCAGTCCATCCGGCTTTACATCGCTAATCTGGATTTCCGAAGTCCAAAAAGTGTGTTTACTGTTTAAATGGTCAACCACAGACTTTAGGAGAAATCTGAGATTCTGGATTTCAGATAGAATTTGGCCAAGTGGGCAAACCCATTCAGGACCTTGATCTAACTTCTTTGGGGTTTTTTTTACTCTTAATTTTTGCAGTCAATGTTAGTCCTATACCAAATAAAATAGCTATTCCTTCTACAATCAGTGTGCATTTAGCCAATGCTGTAAATGTAAATTCTGCCTCTGGGACTCAGGTGTCCAATCTGAAGACTTTTTCTTAACTGTTAGATTCTTTCAGTCAGTACTCAGGTAACAGGCTGTATGGTCAGGCCACTCAAGATGTCCCTTCTCTTGTACTCTACATCCTTTTCCCACCAGTGCCTGCTTCACCTAAACCTATTCACATGACTGACCTTCCTACCTGCTTGCCCCAGGCCCCAGCTGGTGATCATTTTTATCAAAGGGGTGAGGGGTGTGCCCCTCTGCTGGTTTCCTTGGTAACAAATGAGCCGACCTGACGTCAATTCTCCCTATAAGTAGCAGTCTCCACCCCAACCCCCACCCACAGGAGCAAAGACAGCCGCCAGGTCATACCCATTGCTCACCATCAGGAGCCGCTCCAGGACCTTGCTTCAGACAGTAAGCTTCCCCCAGCCTTTAAGCTATTGATGTCTCTGTCACTGACTCTGGGCTCTTTCTTTCTTGGGTGCAGCCCAGCACGGGCACTTCTCCACACTGTATTATACATGGGGGAGTTCCGTGTATAAAGATGGCTATGACATCATTCCTTCCTGCCAAGGAATTAATACTTAGAGAAAACATACAGGGCCCTGGGAACTGATCTGGTTCCACCACTGGGAGGAGCAGAAGTCATGCTTTATTAATATTCTGAACCACCTCACCATCACCCACATATTCACAGCAATTTATAATAGGTGCTCAGCAACTTTTTGTTAAATTAATTATCTCTCTAATCTTCCAGGTATGCTTTTCTGTGTGTGTGTAAATAAAACCTCTTTTGAGTTTAGCTAAAGTCAATTATGAATTCCATGGACTCCCAAGTCTACCTTTCTCAGCTGTGGGATGAGGCTGACTTTCAATGTTGACATAAGCAAAACATAGGAAGGCATGTCAAGAAATTGAATAATACATTCCTAAGTGAACCACAGTGATCTTTGGATCTCAGATAACCCTGTATCAAAGAGCCAAAGGGATAATTATTTCTTTATATGAGGGATAATCTTTTGAAAAGGGCTCTCCCTGCCAGCCCCTCCAAGGGAAGTGTTAGATGTTCCTGCATGAGTCTTAAAAGCCAAGCAGCCACACATGCGTGCTTTGCTTTCCAACACATGTATCCTTGTATATAACACAGATCTCGCTTGGGGCCATCTGAGGTCTTTACTTCCTCTGCTTATATAATTTTATTTTGGCAGCCTTCCCATTTCTTTCCTTTTTCCAAACATTTGATTAAGATATAATTGACACATAAAAAGCTATACATATTTATTGTATACAACTTGATGAGTTTGGAGATAAGTGTATAACCAAGAAAACATCACAATCAAGAGATAAGGGCCTTTTCCCTGAACAGTGGTGCAATCAAAATATGATTTAGCTTAGAAATATCTGATGCACACACTTGCATTTTTTTCTGGGTATAAAGCAAGGTGGACTTGCATCAGCTGTCTAGAATCTGTCGATCTCCTGCTCATTTACACTAGGTCAGAGGTTTGAAAGTTAAGGTCATTGGGAGGAGACCCCTAATGGACGGGCCAAGGTTCAGAACCGCCCTTGCCCACACAGCATAGCAAAGGGCCCTGTCCATAGCCCCAATGTTGGCAAAACCCATGCTTGCTCCCCCCCACAATGACACTCACCTTGCCCCCAGCTAATTAGACCAGGGCTGACACCTGAGCCCAAGCTATTGAGCCCATAGTCCATTTGGTGACATGTGACATGATTTAGCCCTGAAAAACAAGGGGACCAAATCCAATTTCCACATTTGAGAGTATGAATGGAGAAACCTGGTGAGCCAAAGACTGAGCAGTGGCCACGTGCAAGGCAGAATTCTGAAGGAGCAGAAAATATCTGCAAGCAGAGAAAGCCCATCAATAAAGAGATCACGTTTGGCCTTAGGAATGGAAAGGGCATCCAGTCCCTAACACTGCTTTGAGCCCACTTTCCCATTTGCAAGAGCCGTTCAGGCCACACGTGTCTTTAAAAACAAACTCCTTTTCTTGCAGGAGAGTGCGGAGGTGGGGAATCTCGATTCTTCGCATCCAAAAAGACTTAAGTAGAACTAGATATTCCAGAGTCCGCAACAGCCCCCTGCAGGGGTGGAAGAGGCACTGAACTAGGATATTGGAGATGGTTATTGGTTCAGCTATTGAGGCGGGAAGCCCCATAAAAAGAGTGGCAGGACCCCTAGGCAGGTCCGCTGCTCTCCTCAGCACCTTCCGGTTCCCTGGTCGAGAGGCTCTATCTCACTTTTTGCCTCTAAAGCGGCTAACTTACACCTAGAATTCTATTGGTTCCCTGAGCTCACTTTCCTTCACTCCTGATTGGTTATTACTCTCACTTCTGATTGGTCCACTTCCCTAACTTCCGATTGGTCCATTTGTAGTACTTTATTTGCATGGAGCTCACTCCAGATTTGTCTGTTTCTACAAAGCTTGTTCCTGGTTGGTCAACTTATGTTGTACTTTATTTGCATATGATGTTGCAAAGTGTAAAACTGGCAGCCTATAAAAGGCCTGTGTAAACCTACAGATGGGGTCCAGAGTTTGAAGTGTTGTCTCCTCTGGGCCAGGTGGCATAGTAAACTTGAGTTCTCCGACTCTCCCAGTGCTGAAACACATTTTTCTGCAACACTATCTAACTCACCTTTTGACTTTGAATAAGTCATTTTATCTCTAAGCCTCAGTTTCCTCACTTACTAAATTAGGATAAAATGTACGTCTTCTTGTGAGGATCAAATTAGGTAATATAGGTAAAAGTTGTTTGCAAACTATAATGTCACCATCATTGGTGGCTGCAGAACCCTCATCCAGCTGAGGCTACTTAAGGAGGCAAAAGCGTTGTGGAAGAGAAGCTGATGCTTCAGAAGCGGCAACTGAGTTGGAAGACTATTGGAAAACTCCACTAAGAAAGACAAGCCATCTTTGAAAGTACAGTTGGAAGCTGGAGCTTGGTTCTGAAAACAACACTGGGCAGCCTGCCAAGGCTATTGCTATTACTGATACCATCATTCATGTACAAACTCAGGTTTTTCCTCTAGGAAAACACGAGCTAACAGACCCCCAAGCTATGGACCACCCGGCCAGGGAATCTTGACTCCTGAAACTGTAAGAAATGTCACGGGATAGCGGGGAGGGTATAGCTCAAGTGGTAGGGTACATGCTTAGCATGCATGAAGTCCTGGGTTCAATCCCCAGTACCTCCTCCAAATGTAAATAAATAAACCTAATTACCTCCCCGTCATAAAAAAGAGAGAGAAAGAAATGTCACGAGACAATGATTAATAATAGCCTCTTATTCTACCCCTTAAAAACAAAACAACAAAAAACCCTAACTCAAAAACCAAGTTGGACTGGATCTGAGGCATATCTCCCACTCTGTTGCTTGGTGCTTTGCAATAAACCCTCACTTTGTTGCAGACTCCTGCTGTCTGTCTTTCTGCGAACCTTGGGCACACAAGCCGTTTGCACCGTTAAAATAGGAAAATTAACTATTTATCCACTACTCAGATAAGCGTTGTCAATATATTTTTTTCCAAGCATGTGTTTGTTATGTATGCCTCCAACAAAACAGGAACCGCGTAAGACAAACATAATGTAGAGAAGAAAACGCTGATGGAACTCGGTAACTATCTAGGTGCAGGGTGAAGCTATAAGGACACCTAGTGTGGGCGAGGTTACGACAGGAAGGAAGCGGCCTGTGTTCACAGTCCCACCCTCAGAAAGCGTGGAATCACGTCTCTATGGTTGTTCCTCCGCCCAACATAAGGATACACTCTCTCCCTCTGAGGAACTCTATGGTCAGAGGGCGCCTCCGTGACCCCGGAAGCGATCCTGGGAAGCCAGACCGGCAAGATGGCGGCGCGAGCATCGATGGGTGCCCTGGGCTGGCGTCTCTGGAAGGTATCGTGCGCTCTGGGGGAACCAGGCGGGCTGGCAGAGACAGTTGCCACTACGTCTGGCAGCCACCTGTCGTCCTGCGTATCTGGAGCCTTTCCTGATATTTATTTCGCACCTGGGCCCGTTGTTAGCAGGAAGGTAGCGAGAAAAGGACCGGTTTAACCTCGGATTCTCTCATGAGATAAAACATAAGTTAGTGAGTCAGGGCAAAGACAGGAACAAGAGTCGTAGAATGTCAGAGGTGGAAAGGATATTGAGCAACAAATGTTCCAAACCCCGCCTTTCACGTTTGCGAAATAAACTGAGGCGCAGAGAAGTCAGGAAGCTTCACCTGGCGAAAATTAGGTAGCACGGGATCTTAAACACTTCCCACAGAACCAGATTGAGATGCCTTCCTGATATCTAGGTGTTTTGAGATTTTGGGTCTCTGAAGTCGAAGTGGGTTAGATATCCTTTGCGGGGTTCTTTGGTAGGGAAAGCAAAAACTTAAGCAACGGTTCTCAAGTTATTTAGCCTCAGCACCCTTTTACGCTCTAAAAATGGTTGAGGACTCCAAAGAGCTTTGTTTTTGTGGGGTTTATCTATCGGTAATTACTTTATTAGAAAATACAACTGAGAATCTTAAAAATGTTTATTCGTTTAAAAATAACACTAATCAATTAATTACATGTTAACATAATTAACATTTTCATGGTAAACAACTAGATTATCCAAAACCAATTTAGTGAGAAGAGTGGAATGTTTTATGCTTTTTTGCATATTTCTTTGATCTTTGGCGTAATAGAAGACAGCTTGGTCCTATAGCTGCTTCTACAATCTGTCGCTATAGCACAGCCTCTGGAAGACTTCACTGTACATTGGTGAGAGAATAGAGTCGGAAAATTGCAAATAACATCTTATTACTATGAAAGTAAGTTTCTCCCCCGGGGCCCTTCTGAGAAAGAGTCTCAGGAGCCCCTCAGAGGTCTTTAGACTACACTTTGAGAACCACTGGTGTTTTTTTTTTTAAATTGATTTATGAAAATAATAATTGGTTTTTTAATTGTTAAACTTTATTGAAGTACAGTTGATTTACAATGTTGTGCTAGTTTCAGGTGTACAGCAAGTGATTCAGTTATATATATACATATCTATATTTTTTCAGATTCTTTTTCACTATAGGTTATTGCAAGATATTGAATGTACTTCCCTGTGCTATACAATAGGTCGTTTTTGTTTATCTGTTTTATGTATAGTAGTGTGTATATGTTAATCTGAAACTCGATTTATCCCTCCCCCCTCTTTTCCCCTTTGGTAACCATAGTTTGTTTTATATGTCTGTGAGTCTATTTTGGTTTGTAAATAAGTTCATTTGTATACGTATTTTTAAATTCAGCATGTAAGTGATATCATATTTGTCTTTTCTTTGTCTGAATTGCTTAATTTAGTATGATAATCTCTAGGTCTATCCATGTTGCTGCAAATGGCATTATTTCATTCTTTTTCATGGCTGAGTAACATTTTATTGTATATATCTTTGTCCATTCATCTGTTGGTGGACATTTAGGTTGCTTCCATGTCTTGCCTATTGTAAATAGTGCTGCTGTGCACACTGGGATGCATGTATCTTTTCGAATTAGAGTTTCCTCTGGATATAGGCCTAGGAGTGGGATTGCTGGATCTTATGGTAGTTCTGTTTTTAGTTTTTTAAGAAACCTCCATACTGTTCTCCAAAGGGGCTGTGCCAATTTCTATTCCCACCAACAGTGTGGGATGGTTCCCTTTTCTCACACCCTCTTCAGTATTTATTATTTGTAGACTTTTTAACAATGGCTGTTCTGACTAGTGTCAGATAACTTCATTGCAATTTTGATTTGCATATCTCTAATAACTAGCAATGTTGAACATCTTTTCATGTGCCTGTTGGTCATCTGTATGTCTTTGGCGAAATGACCTCCTCTGCCCATGTTTTTATTGGGTTGTGTTGTGGTGGTGGTGGTGGTGGTATTAAGCTCTATGAGCTGTTTGTGTATTTTGGAAATTAATCCCTTGTTGGTCACATAATTTGCAAATATTTTCCCACTTTCTGTAAGATGTCTTTTCATTTTGTTTATGGTTTCCTATGCTGTGCAAAAGCTGTTAAGATTAGTTAGATCCCGTTTGTTTATTTTTGCTTTTATTTCCAATACTCTAGGAGATGGATCAAAAAAAAAAAACTGCTGCAATTTATGTCAGAGTCTTCTCTGTTTTCCTCTAGGAGTTTTCAAGTATCTGATCTTATATTTAGATCTTTCATCCATTCTGAGTTTACTTTTGTATATGGTGTTAGAGAATGTTATCATTTCATTCTTCTATGTGTAGCTGTCCGGTTTTCCCAGAATGACTTACTGAAGAGACTATCTTTTCTCCATTGTATATTCTGGCCTCCTTTGTTGAAGATTAATTGACCATAAGTGTGTGGGTTTATTTCTGGGCTTTCTATCCTGTTCCACTGATCTGTTTGTCTGTTTTTGTGCCCGTAACATACTGTTTTGATCAAATTTGTAGTTTGAAATCAGAGTCTGAAATCAGGGAGCCTGGTTCCACCAGCTCTGTTCTTTCTTGAGATTGTTTTGGTTATTAGGCATCTTCTGTGTTTCCACACAAACTGTGAAATTTTTTGTTCCAGTTCTGTGAAAAATGCCATTGGTAACTTGATAGGGATTGCATTGAATCTGTAGATTGCCTTGGTTATTGTGGCCATTTTAACAATATTAGTTCTTCCAATCCATCTGCTTGTGTCATCTTCTGTTTTTTCCATCAGTGTCTTAATAGTTTTTGGAGTACAGACCTTTTGCCTCCTTAGGTAGGTTTATTCCTAGGTATTTTATTCTTTTTTAATGTGGTGGTAAGTGGGATTGTTTCCTTGATTTTTTTCCCTAATATTTCATTGTTAGTGTATAGAAATGCAACAGATTTCTGTATATTACTTTTGTATCCTACAACTTTACCAAATCCATTGATGAGCTCTAGTAGTTTTCTGGTGGCATATTTAGGATTTTCTATGTATAGGATCATGTTATCTGCACAGTGACAGTTTTACTTCTTCCTTTCCAATTTGGATTTCTTTTATTTCTTCTCTGATTGCTGTGGCTAGGACTTCTAAAAGTGGCGAGAGTGGGCATCTTTGGCTTGTTTCTGATCTTAGAGGAAATGCTTTCAGCTTTTCACCATTATGATGTTAGCTGTGGGTTTGTCATGTATAGCCTTTACTATTTTGAGGTATATTCCCTCTGTGCCTCCTTTTGGAAGTTTTTATTATAAATGGATCTTGAATTTTATCAGAAGCTTTTTCTGCATCTATTCAGATGATGATATGGTTTTTATTCTTCAGTTTGTTAATGTGGTGTATCCCATTGATTGATTTGTGGATATTGAAAAATCCTTGCATCCCTGGGCTAAATTTCACTTGATCATGGTGTGTGATTGATCCTTTTAATGTATTATAGGAGTTGGTTTGCCAGTATTTTGTGGAGGATTTTTGCATCTGTGTTCATCAGTGATATTGGCCTGTAATTTCCTTATTTTGTAGTATCTTTGTCTGATTTTGATATCAAGGCGATGGTGGTCTCATAGAATGAGTTTGGAAAGGTTCGTTCCTGTGCAGTTTTTTGGAATAATTTCAGAAGGATAGGCATTAACTCTTCTCTAAATATTTAGTAGAATTCAGCTGAGGCCATCTGGTCTTAGACTTTTGGTTTGGGGGAATTTTTATATTACTGATTCAATTTCAGTACTAGTATTTGGTCTGTCCATATGTTCTATTTCTTCCTGGTTCAGTCTTGTATCTTGAGATTGTATCTTCCGAAGAATTTGTCCATCTCTTCTGGGTTGTCCATTTTATAGTTGCTCGTAGTACCCTCTTATGATCCTTTGTATTTCTGTGGTATTAGTTGTAACTTCTCCTTTTTCATTTCTGATTTTGTTTTTTTTTAACTTTTTTTTATTGAGTTCTAGTCATTTTACAATGTTGTGTCAAATTCCAGTGTAGAGCACAATTTTTCAGTTATACATGAACATACATATATTCATTGTCACATTTTTTTCTCTGTGAGCTGCCACAAGTTCTTGTATATATATCCCTGTGCTATACAGTATAATCTTGTTTATCTTTTCTACATATGCCTTTCAGTATCTACAAATTTTGAAATCCCAGTCTATCCCTTCCCACCCGCCACCTCCTTGGCAACCACAAGTTCGTGTTCTATGTCTATGAGTCTGTTTCTCATTTCTGATTTTATTGACTTGGGCCCTGTCCCCTTTTTTCTTGATGAGTCTGGCTAAAGGTTTATCAATTTTGTTAATCTTTTCTAAGAACTAGCTTTTAGTTTCATTGATCTTTTCTCTTGTCTTTTTATCTCTATTTCTGCTCTGATCTTTGATTTCTTTTCTTCTACTGACTGAGTTTTGTTTGTTCTTCTTTCTCTGTTGCTTTAGGTGTAAGGTTAGGTTGTTTATTTGAGATTTTTATTCTTTCCTGAGATAGGCTTGTATCACTATAAACTTCCCTCTTAGGACTGCTTTTGTTGCGTCCCAGAGGTTTTGGATCATCGTGTTTTTGTTTCCACTTGTCTCTAGGTATTGTTTGATTTCTTCAGTGACCTATTGGTTGTTTAGTAGCACATTGTTTAGCTTCCATGTGTTTGTGTCTTTTGCAGTTTATTTTTCTTTTAATTGATTTCTGATTTATAGTGTTGTGGTTGGAAAAGATAACTTGATATGATTTCACTTTTCTTAAATTTACCAAGACTTGCTTTGTGGCTGAGCATGTGATGTGTCCTGCAGAATGTTCCATGTGCACTTGAAAAGAATATATTCACTGCTTTGGGATGGAATGCTCTATAAGTATCAATTAAGTTCCCCTGGTCTAATGTGTCATTTAAGGCCTGTGTTTCCTTATTGATTTTCTGTCTTGATGATCTATCCATTGATGTAAATGGGGTGTTACAGCCTCCCACTATGATTGTATTACTGTCAATTCTCCCTCTATGTCTGTTAACGGTTGCCTTGTATACTGAGGTGTTCCTATGTTGGGTGCATGTATATTTACAATTGCTACATGTTCTTCTTGGATTGATCCCTTAATCATTATGTAGTGTCTGTCTTTGTCTCCTGTAACAGTCTTTATTTTAAAGTCTGTTTTGTCTGATGTAAGTTTTGCTACTCCGGCTTTCTTTTGATTTCCTTTGCATGAAAATATCTTTTTCCGTCTGCTCACTTTCAGTTTGTATGTGTCTCTAGATCTGAAGTGAGTCTCTTGTAGGTAGCAAATATAAGGATCTTGTTTTTGTGTCTCTTCAGCCAGTCTGTCTGTTGGTTGGAGCATTTAGTCCATTTACATTTAAGGTAATTACTGATACGTATGTTCTTATTGCCATTTTGTTAATTGTTTTGAACTTATTTTTGTAGGTCTTATTTTTCCTTTTCTTTTGTTTCCTTGGGATTTGGTGACTATCTTTAGTGTTATGTTTGGATTCCTTTTTCTTTTTTGTGCGTGTATCTCTTTTAGATTTTTGGCTTGTGATTACTATGCAGTTTTGGTATAGCAGTCTTTATATATATGATTGCTTTGAGTTGCTGATTTCTTACCTTCAAATGTATTTTAAATACCCTGCATATGTTCTCTCCTCTCCACACAATTACTGTTTTGATAGCATATTTTACATTTAATTGTTTTGTGTTCAACTGCTTATTGTGGATACAGATGTTTTTACTACTTTTGGCTTTTAACCTTCCTCCTAGTTTGGGTGTGGATGATTTCTTGCCTTTACTGTATGTTTGCCTTTACCGGTGAGCTTTTCCATATTGTAACTTTATTGTTTCTGGTTGTGGTCTCTACTTTTCTGCCTAGAGAAGTTCCTTTAGCATTTGTTGTAAAGCTGGCTAGGTGGTGCTGAATTCTTTTACCTTTTGCTTATCTGTAAAGCTTTTAATTTCTCCATCAAATCTGAACTAGAGCCTTGCTGGGTAGAGTATTCTTGGTTGTAGGTTTTCCTCTTTCATTGCTTTAAATATATTGTGCCACTCCTGGCCTGTAGAGTTTCTGCTGAAAAATCAGCTAATAGTCTTATGGAAGTTCCCTTGTATGTTACCAGTCGCTTTTCCCTTGTTGCTTTTAATATTCTCTCTTTAACTTTTGTCATTTTAATTACAATATGTCTAGGTGTTTTCGTCTTAGGGTTAATCTGTTTCCTGGACTTGGGTGACTGTCTCTTTAAATGTTTTCTCAGGCCCTTTCTCTTTCTCCTCTTCTGGGACCCCTATAATGCAAATATTAGTATGTTTGATGTTGTCCCAGCGGTCTCACTGTCCTCATTTCTTCTCTCTCGCTCTCTCTTTTTTTTTCTTTTTCTTTTTCCTGTTCTGTGGTAGTGATTCCACTACTCTGTCTTCCGGTTCAGTGATACATTCTCCTGCCTCACTTAGTCTACTGTTGGTTCCTTCTAGTGTATTTTTCATTTCAATGTTTGTATTCTTCAACTCTGTTTGGTTCTTTGTATTTCCTAACTCTTTGTTAAAAAATTGTAGCTTCTCACTCTGTGCATCCATTCTCTTCTCAAGTTCTTTGATCATCTTTATGATTTTTATTCTGAACTCTTTCTTGGGTAGATTGCCAATCTCCACATTACTTAGTTCTTTCCTGGGATTTTATCTTGTTCCTTTGTCTAGTACATATTCCTCTGCTGCCTCATTTTGTCTAAATTTCTATTTGTATTTTTATGTATATAATAGGCTAGTTAACATTTCTTGACCTTGGAGAAGTGGCCCTCTGTAGGAGACATCCTGTGTATCCCATCAGTGCACTCCTCTCTCACACAAGGGCCAGGGGCCAGCTGGTCCCAGGATAGAATCTGGCCTGTTTGCGGACTTGTCTACAGGCTGCGTGATTGCCATTTTCTTGCTTCTGGTGTCTGCCCCCTGGTGGGTAAGGCTGGCCTAGACGCTTGTGCAGGTTTCCTGATGAGAGGAGCCTGTGTCTGCCCACTGGTGGGTGGAGCTGGATCTTGGCCTTCTGGTGGGCAGGCCTGTGTCTAGGCACATGCCTAGAGGCCACTGTGGGCTCAGGAAGTCTTTAGGAAGCCTGTCTGCTGGTGGGTGAGGGTGTGTCCCTACCCACTTGGTTGTTTGGCCTGAGGCATCCCAGCACCAGATCCTACAGGCTTTTGGGTGAGGCCAGGTCTTGGTGCTAATGACCCAAGCAAGATATCAGCCTCCTGGAAGGAGAGTTTATGCAGATGAGTACTTCACCAACTTTTCTGGCCCAGGCGTCTATGAAAGTACTGCTTTTGCCCTTGGTCCTGGTGAGCGTGAGATTTTTGTGTGTGCCCTTTTAGAGTGAAGTCTCTGTTTCCCCCAGTCCCATGGAGCTCCTTCAGTTAAGCCCCACTGGCCTTCAAAGCCAAATACTCCGGGGGCTCCTTTTCCCAGTGCCGGACCCCTGGGCTGGGGAGCCTGATGTGGGGCTCAGAACTCTCACTCCTGTGGGAGGGCCTCTGCAATATAATCATTCTCCAGTTTTTGGGTCACCCCCTGGGGAACATGGAATTTGATTATATTGAGTCTGTCCCTCCTACCTGTCTTGTGACTTCTTTGTCTTTAGTTATGAAAGATCTTCTCTGCTAAGCTCCAGTCTTTTTTAATAATGGTGGTTTTGCAGTTTGTGATTTTGGTGTATTCACGAGAGGAGGTGAGCTCCATCTCCTTCTACTCCACCGTCTTGGTCACCACTGAGAACCACTGTTCTTAAGAAAAGTCAAGTGGTGTTGGAGGTTGAAATTTTGAACTATTTTAAGATGCACTTACCCAGACCTCAGCTTTACTTCTGAGAGAGAGAGGGATAGAACAAAACTTAAGTACTTATTAAGATTCATTTGTGGATGTAACAGCACTTCAGGCTCCAACTTTTAAAAGCAGGGGTTATACTGGGAGAAGATGAGTGGGAGGTGTCATATTCCTTAGACCTGTGGTCCTTCTGCACAACTGGATTGAGGGGTCACTGGTATAAATGTGGAAAGGGAGTTTTCTCTGTGATTATGTGTGGAGAATGACACATACCTTTTACTACCCTATATTCTTGATTTCCTTTTTTTGTTTTTCCACCTTGATCCAAAGGAGACTATGAAAGTTTTCATTTGCCTTCATCTTGGGTAAAGCTGGGAAGACAATAAGCTAAGAATAGGCTGTTTAACTTTTAACATACTTAGATGACCCTCAGTTGTTTTGATTTAGTTTCATTTGTACTAAACTGTTACTCTTATCTTCATAGCATCTTTTAGGATCCTGTTGTGCTTCCACTTTCTCAGGTTACACTTTTAAATATTGGGAAAGCTTAAGAGAAAAACAGGTGATAAATTACGTGTTACAGTACCATAGGTTTCCTGCAACTTGAAGTTTTGTTCCACCAAGGGGGAGCTGACGATAAAGTATTTGGAAACACTGGATTGTTGCAGTATGGGGCACAGAAGTAGTGTAAGATGGGTGTAAATTCCAATGTGTATTTCAGTTTCTTTATAAGCTAGTCATCCCAGCCAAGAAATATACATGCTTGAAAAGATGTACGTCAAAAGGCGAGTACTTTAGAGTGCTTATTCCAATTCAATAAATTATAAAGATACCTTTTTAATGCTCAAAAATACTTAGGTGAACTAAGTATTATATTGAAGTACATTTATCAATAAAAAAATCAGAAAATGAAATCACATTTTTTCCCTTGATGTCCACATAATTAATTCATAGCTATTTTAATGTGAGAATTGCTTTTTTAAAAAAAAGTTCTTACTCCTAAGCGTTAAAAGATATAGTTTCTAGTATTTTAGAGTCCTTTTTGTTTATCAACTCTACCATTGTCCTCTTTTTTTAAATGAAATCTAATTTGGCATTTTAGTTACCCCAATATCTTCATCTGAAATAGTGAAATAGCCTGTTATTTGAAGTTTCCTGCATCTTTTGGTTTTTAATGGAAACTATGACTGATTTTGGTATTGACATTAGTTCTAATATCTATCCCCCCCCTTTTTTAAGGGTTCGAGGAATTTTTCTGTAAGCAGTTCTAGGAACAGTACAGCCCAAAATGGTGGCTTTCTCCTGTAAGTATATAATTGGATATGCTCATTGAATAAGAAAATGGGCTCTTGTGCTGTTTACTTAGGTTTCTCTTTGTTTCCACACATAGCAGCACCAATATGAAGTGGGTACAGTTTTCAAACTTACACGTTGATGTTCCCAAGGATTTGACCAAACCTACGGTATGTACTCTTTTTATTTCTTGGCATACGAAGCTACAGTAGCAATATATTTTCCTTATTATTTCATTTGGGGCTATTTCCCAAACACTTTATGAATTTAAAAAATTTGTCCTGGAATACTGGCAAATGCACAATGTGCCTGATGAAAATATCCTCTAATGTCCCTGAGAGCTCGCAGTCTCTTTCAGGCTATCAGGGTGAGTGCTAATCACATAAGTTATTTACCACCAAGTAACTGGGAATGAGCAGTTTTATGCTTCTGGCTCAGTACAGTGTGAAGAGTTGTCATAGTGATGCCGAATACTTGGTGTTATGTTATAAAAACTTATTTTTCTTGTCGTTTTCCAGTCTTTATTTTTATTTGAAGATACTGAGTCTGGGCCTAGACAGTGCTTTATTGTTCACAGTGAGAAAGAGCATTACCGCAAGTAGAGAAGTTTCCTTTAAGTGAAAGCTGTGATTCCATCCACCCAGTTTTTGTGTTGTTTGTAGTTTTTAAAAATCCCTGCAAGTTCAAATGTTTCCAGTTCCACCCTCAAAAGTTATCTCCTGTAACAGTTTGGTACAAATTCTTCAAGACATTTGTCTGTATATAATCATCTATACACACACACACACCAAAATAGATTTGTGTTATACCTAATGGACTACTGGTTCAGTGTTTTCACTTGATACTGGACATATTCCCATGATGGTACATATAAACTGCATTCTCCAGCTCAGATGCATGCATGGGCCAGGCGTGTAAGGAAAGAGAGGGTGGGCACAGGGGCAGGCTGTGTCCTTTGTAAGGAAAACAGCTGTAGCTACTGTTGCTGTGTGGAAAATCAGACCTAGTGATGTCAGACCCTAAATTTCCAAACTAAATGAAATTCAATTTTTTATGCAAAATCTTGATTTTTAATATTTGTAACAGATTCAGAGTATCTTTAATACCCTGTAGTGGGGGAGGATATAGATCAGTGGTAGAGCACATGCTTAGCATGCACAAGGTTCTGGGTTCAATGTCCAGTACATCCTCTAAGAATAAATAAACCTAACACCCCCCCCAAAAAAAAAGGAAACTAAAAAATTAAATAAAACCCTATAGGGACCAGTCAGAACACATCTTAGGGCCATATTCCCTTCCCTTGTTTCCCAACTTAAGAAACAGGACATCAGTATATTCTGTTCTTCCAACAGCCCCATTTAGGATAATTGAGAGTGACTGTCTAGCTTCCTGGTTAGTAAGTACATCTCCTTTCAGGGGCAAAGTAATTTAACCCTGAATCATTGAATTAGTAATATAAATTACTAGTTTGATGGATGAATGAAGCGAAGGTAATTCACCTCTTGGAGGAAAGTCAAGTGTCAAACCCCTTATTTTTAAGTATTAGAGTGGAAGATCTTTAAGTATTAGAGTGGACGAGGTAGAAGTTATATGTACAGTCAGTGTCATAACATTTTAATTAGAAATGAGTAATTTTTCTATTAGGGCAAGCAAAATAAACATGAACAAAACTTAATAAAAGTACATGAATAGCAACAGCTCTCCTTTAACAGTTTATAACTTACAAGTACTTAAATCTGTGCTTTATTTGTTCCCTGTGGAAATGCTGTGAGCTGTACCGTAGGTGTCGTTTTATATATGAGAAAACTAAAGTGCAGTGAGACTGTATGACTGCCCATTGTCATTCATCTTGAAGTAGCAGAGTTTAATTCTCAATCCAGGTCTTCTGACCAGGCTACTTTATTAGCAGACCCCAAAATCCTTTCCTATTGTGTATTTGGAGTTCAGTAACTTAAGCTAGAGGGTTCCATTGATTTTGTAGATTGCTTGAAAATTTTAGCCAGTTCTTAAAAGTCATTGTGGAGTCTGAATGTGGTACTATCTAGATATATAATATAATAAAGTTATTATATAATTAAGGTGTTAACTCAGCATTTTTCTCACTTACTAGTAAACTCAAGTGGTTCAATTGAGGGTAATATGTTCAGTTTTCCAGTTATAAATTAGATTATCATGACTGAAACTTCTTGATTTTAAAATTGCAGATAACAATTTCTGATGAACCAGACACATTATATAAGCGCCTGTCAGTTTTAGTAAAAGGCCATGATAAGGCTGTGTTGGACAGTTATGAATATTTTGCCGTGCTTGCTGCTAAAGAACTTGGTATCTCTATTAAAGTGTAAGTATGATCTTTCTTAATCTGACCTGTTTGCTGCTATAACACAGTCGGTCGGGAAACTGATGCCAGTCCCAGTTAGGTCTGAGCTCTTAAAATGGGATAGAAACTCCTGATGGGGAGAGTTTAGATTTGTTTTATTCTCCTAAGCAGGACATCCCTTCCTTTCTACCAGGATTTCTAAATATACTAGCTTAGAATGGGTGGATAAGGGAAAATGAAGGAATCCTCTCTAGAAATTGCATAGACACAAGGAGACCCAAGAAGCCCTCGTGTCTCAGATCTCCCTGGGGTGGGGAGGCGGGTTAGGTAAACGAGCCTTCCGTGTAGGCCTGTATGGAGTTGATCTTTGCTGTTGTATCTGTTTTTTCAAAACTGCCTTAAACACCATTCACCCAGTACTTTGATGCGTGAGCAAGGTGAGCTTCATGTGACCTTGAAGTCACTGTAACTACCTCCTTCGTCCTGTCAACTGCTTGTTCTGATGTTGAACAAGGCCCATTTGGGGCTTTGCCAGTCTTGCTTTCTAAAAAAACTGAAGGGACTCACACATTTCCCATAAGAGATCACAGTTGTGATTATCAATGTACCTGTAATACAGAGCAGACATTATAACCGTCCAACACTCGATGCAGCTCCTCACAGTTTACGTATTTGGTCAGTGCGGGAACCTCATGGGTCTGAAAGCGGAGGCGTGGTTTGCGCACTTGCATGCCAAGGTTCGTTTTGGAGTCTGCTCCTGTTACTGTCTGCAGGTTTATTTTGGCCTGAACTTCATGACAGCAGTTGTTAGAGATGACAGCCTTGACAAATAGAAGTCTGTAAACAGTAGTTAATGCCTATAATTGAGTGTGAGCCTGACCTACAAAATTGTGGAATCATGCTTTGATATCAGTGACTCAGGTTTTAACATCGCTTAGCTTAAGTATGTTGCTTTGCCCATTAATTTTCCAGACATGAACCTCCAAGGAAAATAGAGCGATTTACTCTTCTCAAATCAGTGCATATTTTCAAGAAGCACAGAGTTCAGTATGAAATGAGAACACTTTACAGATGTTTAGAGGTGAGTTTATTTCAGACATTCTGGCTTTTTTTTTTAAATGCCCCAAATGTCACACTAGCACATAACTTTCCTTTAACACTGACTCAGTGGCCTTCCTTTCAGTCAATGCCTGATAGAGAAGGTAAATGTCTTTTTCTGTTTGTGGAAGTGGCATGATAGGAAAATGAAACTCAAACAAAGCCATCCTTCAGAGTAGTTCATACTTTAACTCAGTAATGCGGATTATGCTAATTTTTATACCGTAAGCTGGCATTGGAATAATTCTGCTTATATTTCAAAAATTCTAGCTAAGTTTTCACATAGCTCTAATAATTTTTACATGCTAACTGGAGCCCCATGTCTATGATGAGCAGCATTAAGGTTTTTTCCTTCAGTTATGATTCATTTGTGCAGCCACTCAGGTCAGCACAGTCTTATGGTTAAGGAAGGCATGGGCTCTGGGGTCAGCCAGCCAGGTCCAAGCACTGGCATTACTATCTCTGGGTTCTGTGCCTCAGTTCTTTCATCATAGAATGGAAATAATGGCACCTGTCTCATAAGGTTAGTGTGAGGATTTATATAAGAAGCAATGTACTAGGCATTGAGGGTACAAATGATTTAAGATACAGCCCTATTCTTAAATGAAAAGAAAAATCCAAAATAATATTTATCTCACCATGGAACAGACAAAATCTTATATTCTATCTTATAATTTAGTCTTTTGTTACCTTCTGCTTTGGGTGGTTGAATAAGTGTACTGTTTTGATACCTTGCTTGCCAGCTGGGTTCCACAGAGCCCTGGCTTTCAGGGATTTGGAAGGAAGGAGGCTTCAGGGCATGCTCCCCTCATCTGATTCAACCAGAGGAACTACACTTTTTTTTAAACTGGAATTCTGTTAAGTTTTCATAGAAAAGACTCCGCTGATTTTACCAAGAAAAAATTTCTGCTTTAACAGCATAGTATGCACCAATTTCATGTTTGAAATTTTAGTTAGAACATCTCACTGGAAGTACGGCAGATGTCTACTTGGAATATATTCAGCGAAACTTACCTGAGGGAGTTGCCATGGAGGTTACAAAGGTATGACTTGAATTTCTACCTGTTGGAGAGAGAGCTGTCTTGTTTTGATAAAATGCCACCTAGTCCTGGCCCACCAGGTGGAGGGGAGGACCTGTGATGGGCCTGGAGACAGAGTTGCCACAGTGCTGGCCGCTTAACAGAAAGCTGCCACTGCAGCCCGCATCCTCCCAGAGCCACCTCTGACGTCTCCCTCCCTCTTAGCAGTTGTCTAGCCACGGGTTCCTCGTAAATTGGTGGTCCCTGGAAATCAGAGGATCAAATAGATTATACATGTGAGAGTGTTTTATATACCATCAAGTTTCCTTCTCTGCTTCAAAGCCCTGTAATAAGATGAGAGGGTAAAAGAAAAAAATCAGAAGGACTTGAGAGAACAGAATTAATAAATCCAATTTGTGGCTGAAGAGCAGTTAAGTCCACATTTTATTTATATTTTTATATATATATTTTTTTTTTTTTTTTGGTTGGAAAGGAAAGGTTTCTTTATTCAGAAGGCTGGGAACTTTTTTTTTTGGTTGGAAAGGAAAGGTTGCTTTATTCAGAAGGCTGGGAACCTGGCCTTGTGTCCAAAAAACCGCCACGATTCTGCTTGACCATAAAAATTTAGGAAGTTAATCAGTTAATCATTTGGGCAGGGGGTCAGAGTCATCTTTATCCTCTACTGTGTGCGCACTTTTTCCTGATTGGTCATGTTATGTTTTTTATCTCTTTAGACAAAATTAGAACAGTTACCAGAACACATCAAGAAGCCAATCTGGGAAACAGTACCAGAGGAAAAAGAAGAAAGCAAGTCATAAAGTCTCAGACCACTTGTGCCGGGATGTGAAATGAGGGTGGACCAGACAGGCACATGAAGGTGGTGTTGACAAAAATGATCAACAAACAGTAAGACTAGAAGAGAGTTTTGAGGCAAACTGAGGACTAGCCCACTTCCCAGATTTCTTGAGAAGCTGCTCTGGAGAAGCAGGGTTTTCAGCACAGTTTTATATCTTGTCAGAATAAAGATTAAACAAGTCAGAGTTACATTTCTTCAAGGTTTCAAAAAAAAAAAAGACCAGCACGTACACAGCAAGTCAGTGTGGCCTTGGCACCTGGGAAGGGCGTTTTACCATTGAAGGAGGACTGGCATTAGAGTCCCAAAAAGAGGGGCATTTAACTTTTATTTTTAACATGGACAGTCTTCTCTTCTGGTCAGTGCGCCCTTTACTAAAGCAGATGTACAATATGTGTTTGCTAACAGGCTATTTTATATTTTAGTTAGCATGAAATTCAGCTTAACACGTGTAAACCAGAATGACTTACCTGTATCTCAATATGTGAAAATTTCTTTTATCATTTCTTCCCTTCTGATCGTAAATCTTTTGATAGAAAAACATTGATCAAAATGTCCCTCGAGATGGGGATGGTCATTGTGGCTGCCCTGGGTCCATCCTGTCCCTCGGTGCTAGGTTTTTTGTTTGTTTGTTTTTGTTTTTTGTTTTTTTTAAGGAGTAGAGTTATCTAGTTATCTTTTTGGGAGGAGTAATTAATCAAATGTAATGAATAAAAAGATATATGTGGACAGGGAAGCGTTTTGTAGGCTATACTTATTAACCATATTGTCATGTGAACGTTGTACACTGCTTTTAGCAGCGGTAGACTTAAAGCAAACAGTGATAACATGGCAGGAGTGGCTTGATAGCTGGGAAAATTATGCATATTGTGAAACTAATTACTTGTAAAGCAGAGCAAAAAAATTGCCTGTTCCTGAAGAGAGCCAACTAAACAGGTCATTTAAAGGGTCAGTTGTTTTTTTTTTTTTTTTTTTCATTTATAACCGTTTTGCTTTCTGGGAAGTTCTTTCTAGGCACATCTCAGTGTCTACCGAGACATATAAGTGCAACAAGTAGTATGAGCACTATCACAAATGCTTCCTTGTTGAGCCAGAAAATCTCAGGCAACCCCGTTGTCTAATACTGTTTGGGTGGAGGGATTTAGGGGTGTCTATGGTGCTGCAGTGCTTTTTGTGGTCTCTGGCTGTTTGACCAGTGGTGGCTGATAGATTTCTGAGCATATTCCTGGCTAGATATACTCCTGCACTGGGAATTTTGATTCCCAAAAGACTGCCACCAGGTTCCTTGGTCCCCTGCTAGCATAGGTCTTAAGGGGAGAGAAAGGAGGTTCATCCGTTTCCCTGTGTATAGATAACGCGGTTACATAGTGTCCCAGTAAGCATAAAGCTTCTATTTGCCAGCTGTTAGCACTTACATGCCCATCCCTGGGAAGGTGGATCAATTCCAGTACCACGTATGAAGACCAAACCTGGGGGAGCACAAGGGATCCTTCCTACAGTGCGTCATTGCTAGCCTCATTCATGGGGAGCTTTGGTAACCTGGTACTAAACTATGGGTCATTTCTCTTGCAGGCTTTCTAGAAGCCTTCTACATGGTATTTGATATAAGGGAATTGCTAGGATAATTTACTTGTGTTTTTAAAGACATTTTCAAATTAAGTAAGGGATAGAGCGAGGGGGGTCCTAGGTTACATTGTCTTCAGTCTTTAAGGACTGAGGATGTATATCAGACAAGGGATGGACATAATCTTTCAGGTTCAGCGTCTTCAATATATTATATCAGAGGGAGGTTGGTCTGGGTGAGTGGTAACATTAGGGACATCTGAAAAGTCAGTGATAAATATGAGGGGCCCGTCCTATCCCAGTGGCTATACTTTGTGACAGCTTTACTAAAGAACTTTTTCATCTTGAATATTGAGGCAAAAGTGTAGCTAGAAGTAAAACAGTACCTTTTGATTGATAGCGAGATGAACGTTTGGTGAACAGTTCAGTTGCACTAATAGCTTGAGTCTTACAGGCCTTGTCTGGGCTCTTGGATTAGCCGTCTGCCGTAATCGTCTTCTCGTCCTGGCTTGGTAGTGTTGATCTTAGTCAAAGCTGGCTGTCAGGAATAGGGAACAAAGCCCATTCAGGTGGAGGGGCCTAAGATAAAAGATGTCAATCCATCAGTCTATACTTTCTAATTTGGCAGCACATGACTTAGTCATACCTGATAAGGTCTTTACAGGGTGGCTGCAAAGAATCTTTCATGTTTTTTCCAATAAACAAATCTCCCATGGTCCTTAAAGTCTTCATCTCCCAGGAGCTCACTGTGAAGGGAGTTAGCTACTAATTTTTCACTTTCCTTGTTTTAATAAGACCCTGACAATAATGTAGTAGATCTCCTTGGAGTAAAGTTAGTCCATATATTTCCTCGTCTACTCATATAGGCCATCCTGTTATTTCAAAAGGAGACACCAATGTTTACCAAAAAGGCATAGATCTAAGGTTCAGAAGCACTAGCAGAAGAGCTTTTGGCCATGGGAGATTAAATGCTTGTGACAGTTTGCCAATTGCGCTTGATAATGTCATGTCCTTTTTACCAGACCTGAAGATTGGGGAGGATAAATGCAGTGAAAATGCTGCATTGTTGGCCAGATGTTCTGGATAGATTTGTCCAGTCAGTGACTTACCCCGTCACTGTGTAATTCAGAAGGAATTCCCCAAATAGGAATTATCTTTTTTAATAACAATTTACCTACTGTTAAAGCCATTGCTCTTCTGCGTGAAAAAGCTTCAATCCAGTGTGAAAACGTGCAGGTCATTACCAAGATATGTTTGTTTCCTTGAGATGGTGGCATTTGGACAGAGTCCAGTTGCCATACATCAAAAGGTCCCTTAGGAAGAGGAAAGTTAGCCTTGTGACACATGAAGTGACTTTCCAGAATTATATTCAGGACATACATTACAGTGAGCATACACCTTATATGAGCCACCATGGGAAACTTTCCAAACATACGCTGTTTTTCCTATAGAATCATTTTTTTTCAGGTGTCTAGTGACTTAAGAAATATTTGTGTATATATAATGCTGGAGCAACGGCAGTTGGGCTCCAGCAGGTACTACAGGTTTCTCATCAGGTCCAAACCATATTTGTGTTACAGGGTTAAAAATCTCCCCCTTTTGATTGCTGTGTGTTTTTCTTCGGTGGCAATTTTTTGAGCCTGTAGAATAAACTCCCTTTTTGAGTTAGCAGGGTTAACAGAGAGCAGTGGACATTCTCAAGGCTGGACAGAATGATTATTTAAAGCAGCTTGCTTGGCGGCAGCATCAGCAAGCTAATTTCCTTTAGCTTCTATAGTCTTAGATTTGGAATGCCCTGGTGTTTTAGTTGCTAACTGTTTTGGCAGTTGTACAGCGTTTAATGACTGCAGCCTGTTTTCCATTTTTTCCCCTAGCCTGTCCCTGAGAGGTTAAAAGGGGGGGGGGGGCACCTCATTGCCATAACATTCCAAAGGCATGATGACGGTCAGTATAAATATTTGCTATCTGCTGTTTAGCTAATTGACAAGTTCAAGTTAAAGCAATTAATTTTGCTTGTTGTGTTGACTTAATTTCCGGTAAATAAGAGCTTTCAATTATGTCCGTTGTGGACATGACTGCATATCCAGCTTGGTAATGTCCTTGCTCATCTTTTAAGTAGGACCCATCTATAAACCAAGTTATATCTGTATGGTCAGTGGGAATTTCTTGTAAGTCATTTCCAGGAGCTAGAAGATAAGCCATTAATAAAATGCAGTCATGGTCATTTGAGGGCAACAGTCCTTTCTATAGACCAGTCTAGCACAGAGGCCCTTTTTAAGTGGAAAATACAAATTCAAGAGTCAGTTCCCTTCAGTTTTACTGTGCATAAGTTAAGAGTACCTGATGGAGGTCCTTCCATCTAAGTTCGAGAGAGTCCTTTAAATGGTGTCTTTTCTGGTATTTATAATCTCCTGGGTGCAGGTCATGGGGCATCTGATCCTTATCTAAAGGTAGATTACTGTGATCAGCTTCAGAAACAAGCTTAGAACATCCTTTTAATAATTAAGTTAAACTTTACAATAATGTGACATACAACAAAGAGGCATCTTGGATGTAGATAAATATCAAACATCAATATCCATAAAGGTGTATCATTGAAACATAATTTGACTATTTGATAAAAATGAAAATAATTTAGAGAAAAAAATTAAGACTGATTTGTTTACAAAATAAGCCTGGTTTTAATACATTCGGCCTGATTATTTACATAAGTCTAATTGGTCATATGGGCTCTTTTAAATTTGACTTTGCTGGAACTTTTCGTAAGGCATCTCAAATGCCTTTTCCTAAAGGCCTCTCAAGGCCAGGAAAGCCATGCCATTAGATTCTACCTGCAGTACCTACAGATTTAGGTGAATTCCTCTCTTCTCCTCCAAAATATCTTGAGATTCCTAGGAATGTATCTGCCAGGAAGTGGCCTTCATTATTCACTTGGAAAGGCTGCTAGGAACCTGAGAGTCTCCCAATTCTGGAGGGATCAGGTTGAGAGAAAAAAACAAATGCTTCAATTCTGCTTTCAAAGGTATAATGTACCAAAGTGCTGGAAGTCCTAATTAGCTTAAGGGGAAAGGTTTCCTTATATCTGGAAAACAGATTAAAAACCAATAATGTTTTAGACAAAAAAAAATCAGAAAAACCATCATATTTACCAGTTCATTTAATCCCATGTAATTGATTCTTGTTCTGTTTGAGTCCAGTTCTTCCATTAGTTTTGTTGACCTTGCCTGATGATTGAGGATGACAGTGATAATGTTAAGAAATTTGTGAGGTTTTTTTTTTTATTAAGGCTTGTATAATTTGCCCAGTGAAGTGGGTGTCTTCAACACTGGAGATCGTAGAAGGTATACTCCAAACAGAAAACACATTTTTCAACAGTTTGTCATTGTGAGGACATCAGCCTTGCAGCACAGGAAGGCGTTAACTCACCAAATAAAAATTGGGGTTTGCCAGGGAGTCGAGAAGAGCCAAGTGGCCAGCGTGGGTTTCCCATAGCCCTGTTTACTTCACAGCTGTTGTTTACTATCTTAATTTCTGTCTCAAGACCAGACTGTTGCCTAGGACATCAGATGGCAAAAGTCTAACAGTGAGGGGTTAATTTTATAGAAGCAGAATCGACTTAACCCACATGTGCCATAATCTTATAAATTCTGTTGTTGTTGCCTTTGCATGAAAGTCAGGGCATTTCCCTAATACTTGGTTGGGTTCAGTCCCTTTAGTTTGAGCCTCAATTTCGATGACATAACATTTTATGTCAGGACATACAAGATTTCTAGGAATTTCATATCATTTTTGGGACATTTGTAATACATATACTTACACAGACGTAAAGGAGACTTAATGTTACCTTTTGTTTGACAGTGCTTCCCATGTAATATAATATACCAAACAGTCCTAGCTGAAGAATTTTAGATGCCTCAGGGGCCCTCTGAAGCATCCTAAAGTTAGCTAGAGAAAGAAACTTAATCTGTTATCAAAAGCAGCATTCTAAGAAAACTTTGTTCTCAGCAGAGAGAGCCAAATTCCAGCCTTGTGTTAGCTTACTACTAATATCTAACTAAATTCAATCTAATCTTAATCAACCCTGACCATGTACAAAATTGTTTTAAGGTTCCATTTTCATAAAATTTCTGTGACTTTCTGTATCCATATTAATTTAGCCCTAATTTTTTCCCATCCATAAACAACCAGCTCTAGTACAAAATTATTTTTCCCCCTCAATAAAAATATCTGCATTCTTATAAATTGGAAGTTAGAGATTTGCAGATACTAATATATGTATATAATAAACAACAAGTTTGTACTGTATTACTCATGGAACTATATTCAATATCTTGTATTAACTTATAGTGAAAAAGAATATTAAAATGAATATATGTATGTTCATGTATGATAGAAATATTGTGCTATACACCAGAAATTGACACATTATGAACTGACTATATTTCAATAAAAATGTTTATATATACAAAAAAACCTCCATTCTTTATACCTTTTGCCAACATATATCCTTCTTGGTTTACACACTGAAATGCTTTATTATTTCTAGTAGCTTTAAATATGTATTAACAATTTTTAACCCTTAAAAAACCTTAATCTCTAATAAAAATCAAGAAGCAAGCAATTTTGAGTTGTTTGTTATACCAGCATTTTCTCATTAGCAAACTCACAAATATTTCCATAACCTCTAAAAACATTTTTCTCATAGCATAATTTCTTTTTTAATGTGGTACAAGATGTGTGCCCCTTAAACCCAAACATCTTTAGTTTTTGTCTAAAGACATAAATTTAGACTGCTTAGCAATGAATGTTACAGTATTTTTATCTTAATTGGAAATATCTGGATATTCAGTGAATTCCCATCACTTAATTTAGCAAAACTCAAGTTTCAAATTACGAAACATCTGGAGAAACCATTTTTAGGCAGATATATCAAAAAACAATCAATTTTAAAGAGTTTACCTAAGAACTTTTAGGTCTCTATTTCATGACTTACGAAAATATCATACCAAGTTAATTTTCTTGCTGACAGATTTTGTAACGGAGATAACATGAACTTAATGACTTTTAGTAAACCTAGGAAAAATAAAAGTATTATACTTAATGTTGATGACCGTAAAGACATGTCTGCATTAATCAAACCAACAACTTAGGTTTGTTTTCATTTATTAAAGATTAAACCTAGATCATGCGATCCGTTAAAATTTGGATTTTTTGTTACATTTAGAATTTGTAAAAGTACTTACTTTAAAGTCAGTTGAATAGAGCTCTTTTAACTAATTCATACTGATAATGTCATCCAGAGGTAGAAACATACCACATTTATAACATGTAACAGACATCCAGATAGGCACAGAGATCTAGTTTTCCTGCTTGAGATTAAAAGGATTTTTTTTTTTTTAGGTTTTAGATTCTGTTAATTGAGCCAAGGCTATATATAGTCTCAGGCAATATGGATGGGCTGCGTTTGCATTTCAAAGACGCAATAAGAGTTACAGCTTTTCTTTGTCTCCTAGGAATACTTGTCTCTCTCAGGATCAGAATTTTGAAAAGATGTTTTATCAAGTCAGCTGTATTTGGTTGTGCATGCAAAAATCTGTTTTGGAATGTCAAAAAAAGCTTCATCCTGGCCATTTTAGGGTTAGATAAGTACTTGCAGGTATTGGCTCCATCCCAGTTGAAGCCGGAGTTCCAGTGGGCGGCTGCCTGTCTGGGGGCTGGGAGCCTTTAGAAACACAGTCTCCCACTTTTAGTTTCACGTTATTATAAAATGCAAATCTAAAATTAAATTTAGGTATTTGGATTTCCAATTTTAAGCCACATT